GGTGGTTCCACAGTTGGAGGTCTCGGTGGTTCCACTGTCGGTGGTTCCACTGTCGGTGGTTCCACTGTCGATGGTTCCACAATTGGAGGTCCTGGTGGATCCACAGTCGGTGGTTCCACAGTTGGAGGTCTTGGATCCACAGTCGGTGGTTCCACAGTGGGTGGTCCCGATGTCTCCGGTGTTGGCGAGCCCCAAGTCGGCGGTCTCTGAGGTCCGTGAGGCGGCTGCCGGCGCCTCCATGACATCTGGGTCGGCTGCCGTTGCTTCCACGTCGGCCGTCGCCTCCATGTCGCCTGGGTCGGCCGCCGTCGCCTCCATGCCGCCTGGGTCGGCCGCCGTCGCCTCCATGTCGCCTGACTCAGCTGATGTTGCCTCTTCGTCCCCTCTGTCCCCTGTGTTCGCCGTCGCCAAGGCTCTGACTCCATCAACCTCCGCCGGCTCCTCATCTGCTCCTGCCTCTTCCCTTGGCTCCAAGTCTGCTCGCATCTCCTCCTGGGGCTCAACGTCTGCTTCTGTGGGGTCTCGTCATGGATGGGTTCCTGGCCTTCCCCCTGACCTCTTGCCTTATGTGGGATGGTTTCCTGGCCATCCTTCTGGACTTTTATGTTTCATTGTCAAGTCTGTTTTGTCTCGTCATCCCTTCTGTGTGGTCCTTTGTTGGAGCGTCCGGTGTGGGTTATGTCATAGTTTGGGTTTTTTGGCTTCTGTTTTTGTATTATGGTTAGGTTTTTTAGGTCCTGTTTTGGGGTTTTGTTCATGTGGGTTTTCTGTTTAGTTCCTTTTTGTCTCAGGTGTGTTCAGTTCTGTGATTAGTGTTGCTTCCATTTCCTCAGGTGTTTTCTGTTACCTCATTAGTTGTCCTGTGTATTTAAGCTCTGTCTTGTCTCAGTGTCAGTGTGTGATCATTGTGCTGTTAAGCGTGTCTCGTTCTTCATGTTCGATGTTCCAAGAGTTTTTTTCGCTACGTCTCTCAAGTGAGTTTTTTCAGCTGCCTCGTCAGCATTTTGATTTGTAAATAAAYKTTATTTTTTGTTACATTTGAAATCTGCCTGTGCCCTGGGTCATTCTACTGTATGTCTGAACCTGACACTGTGTACAACAGGTTTCTTTAAACCCACCCTTCATCCACTTTGTATCTATATTTACATCCAKTTTGTACCAACTTTGACAACTGTTATCATCATCTGCATGGTCAGACCTGATCTCAAAACTAGAAAAATAAAATAAAATCAAGTTCTAACCAAATCAGAAATTAGGCAACTAAAATACAATTAAAATTATTTTTGTTTGTCTAAAAACACAAGGAGTCGAACTTTGCTTTCATCATCCAAGCTGCATCTGCTTCGATACACCACAGAGTCTGGAGCAGGGGGGTATCCTGGTCCTCTAAGGTCTCTAACATGTTCTACTTGTTTTCCTGCTCCAACACACCTGATTTAGGGTTTGAATTACCTTTTCAAATTCTGCAGAAGCTTGTTTYTCACCCAGTCATTCAAATCAGATGTGTTGGAGAAGAGAAACCTTTAAAACGTGCAGGTCAGGATAGGGACCATCAAGGACCAGGACACCCCTGGTTTAGCGTGTGTCTACACTGATTTGACACAGCAGACTGAGTTTCAGTTTTTTCCCTCTTTGCTGCAGGAGAGATCTTTATTCAACTGTCAGCAAAGACAAACAAAATGTCTCAGTGCAAATTATTACAACACAAAGAGCCAGCACTCTGTCCAGCAGCATGTCTTACTCTACAGCTCAGCCTTTAGGCACAACAAGGAGACAGGTAGGAGCGGTCAGCTACTTGGCTGAAGGACATTTGGTGACTAATTAACTGAATTTTAGATCCAGTCTTATRTTTGATCAGTTRTAGTCACAGGCTTTAAACAGAGATTTAGTCTGTTTCTATCAGGATAACAAAGACTTGTTGACATTCCAGTGTTGGACGTAGAAGTTTCTACTAACTTTAACGTGGGTACGATTTGGCAAAGGTACAAAGTGACCAGCCCTGATGATGAACATTTAATACTATGAACTGTAGATCACGGAGCATTCAAAGTCTTTCTAAACTGTCTGTTAAAAACATTATTGTGAGATTTATTTTTTAAAAAGGGTCATAATATTATGAGATTAAAGTCGTAATATTAAAAATTAAAGTCATCATTATGAGAAAAAGTCAATCTTACAGTTTCCATAACAGATTTTTTTAATCATTTCCTGCTGATTTTCCTCACAGCTGCTGTGGACAACATGTGTGTGTCTGTGATGCTTTTTGTGTCACTGTTGGTGTAAAAAACTTTCATCCAAATTACGACAAAAATCTGTCAGTGCAGCCGTTAATTACAACATGGCTTCAGTTTATCATGTAAGGTTAGGGTTAACTAACTGATCGTTTGGTGCTAATGGGGTAAAAAAACAAGTATTTCATTAACTGATAATAAAGAACAATTTCACAAGTTGCTATATATTTTAATGCAGTGGTTAGACTGATTTTTCA